ATCTAATACTCTACCAGTTATATCATCTAATACTCTACCAGTTACATCATCTAATAATTAATTAACTACTCAATTATCTACTGATTTATAGCAAGCTTTAATTATGACAATATCTCAATTACTAAATAATATTATTTTATTAGTTTTGAGTGTTATTCAATTAGTTGTAATTATAATTCCATCTAATAATGCTATATCATCAAGTATTTCAGCAACTTCTGTAAGTTTTGCTTATTATTTTTTATATAATAATATATTTACATGAACGCTATTTACTAATATATTATTTTTAATTACTTTTAAAAAGAATACTTTGATAGATTTATTTATTAATGAATGCAAAACTCTTTTATACAAATTTGAAAACTAACATCACAAATAATTCTTGTTCTTATATGAGAATGTGCTAATTATTTAAATATAATATTAAATGTAAATAATGCAGAAGTAAAAGAATGTATCTGGTTTTTAACTTGAAAAACACTTCTTTATGATAATTGCTTAATAATTGCATTTGACTTCATAGATCGCTATGAGTATATATTATACATTTAAATTTTTCTTTTATATTATTATATAATATAATATATATAATTAACATGTTTTAATTCTATAGATATATTCTTAATAGGTTATCTAATTAAACACATATATAATATTTCATTTTAGATAGTGAGGTACATAATGTATTTTCAACTCAATTTAAAAAAGTCAAAAAAGACGAACTTGTAAATGATAAAACATCATAAATGATACTCAAAAATTTTATTTCAAGTATTATCTTTATTATGATTAAACATTACATCAAAATTAATATTAGTCATATACAATATTGAAGATAGCTTAACTACAATAGAAAATAGAATTAAATGGAGAAGATCAATATTAACTGAATTACATAATTTGGATTGTTAAATTACTAATATAAGTGTAACATATAAAAGTGGAACAAAAATTGCAAAGAAATTGATATTAGAGCCTTTATAAACTGGTACTAGTAATAATAAATAATATAGAATATAATATATACCATTAGTAATAAATGATAATAAATAATAAATGATTTAACTAAAGCAATAATATATAAATATAATAATAAATTATTAAAAAACTATTACAAAAATTATTTTCAATATAAATTTTATTTGATTTTGAATGATATTCATAAATACTTTCAAAATAATATTAAATTAAATATAAAATTATTACAAAATTATTTTAATTTATTATTTTAAATGATATCTGTAAATTCTTTTAAAATAATATCAAATTAAATTCATTACTATTATAAAATTATTGTAAAAATGTTTCAATTTTATTGTTTTTAAATAAAATTTATAAATTTTTTCAAAATAATATTAAATTAAATACATTATGATATTAAATATTACAAAATAATTTCAATATAACAAAAGCATTATAAAAATACTATAAAAGCAATTTAAAAATTACTCATTTTTAATAAAATACATCTATAGCTAAATAATTCTAACTTAAAGTATGATTTTCTTCTTAATATTAAAAGCTATTAATAGATTACTAGTTAATCAAGCAGGATAATCTGAAGTAATAATAATTATTATACAGAAAACTTTTATAAATCTGTTATTATTACTGTCAAATAGGAAATATATTATAATAGGAAGATATTAATCTAAAAGATTAGCTGATACACATAACTAAAAAGTATATTAATTGAGCTACATTAGATGATAAAGATAGTAAAGATGTGAGAAATAATTTAAACGAAGATTATATGAAATCTTAGAAGTTGCTAGAAAATTCTTTTATATTATTAATCATTTTCATTATTTATCATTTATTATTAGTAATCAATTAGTATTTTATTTATTTATATTAGTAAATTTAATATAAATAGGATAGTTTTAGGATTTGGTTAAGACAGACAACTATAACAAAACAATTTTATAAACAATTAGAATTCAATTAGTTTTTATTACCAACAAGATAAATACTAATTACAGTTATATACTAATAAATATAATTGTACTGAATTCTTGATTCTATAATAAAATCTCAAAGTTATTCTAAACATACATTATCATTTGAAATAATAATTATTTATAAATTCTTCAAAGCTTTCTCTAAAGTGTTGATTAAAGCTGAATCCCTTTATTAATCTTGCATTAATACTAATTTTCAGTCATTAGTATTATAAGAAAATAATGTAATACCCTTCTATTTTTAAAATTAGAAAATATCTTGTCTAATATAACAATTTTTAAGGTTAAGATATTCTAGATTATTTAAATATTCTGCAATAGCTTTAAATATTATATTGGAAATGAATTCAGTATACTCAAAATCAAAATATATAATATTAAAATATATTTTTATGATTTTTAGAAATTGATAAATCATGAATATGTATAATTCTATAAAAATTAAGATATTTTAACTTATAGTATAATAGAACTATTTTTTCTATAGCTCTATTAGTAATATTATAAAATTAAAAATCAAGATATTGAATATTTAGATATAATTATGTAATAATACATATTGATTTATTATTAAGAACTTTTATACTACATAGTTCTAGATATTTTAAATAATGATATTATACAATTTTTTAATAGCTGTATCACTTATTCTATTACAGTATTTAATTTTTAAACTATTTAGATTTAGACATAAATCTGTGATAATATAAATAGCAATATTAATAAATCTATTATATAGGGCATACTGCAACAAAACCAAACAAAGTAAACATTGGTATTACAAAGAATTTTAGAGATCAATAGTGTTTGTTTAATATCACAATTGTATTATAATATAATGTAATCATAATATTTGTTTAGACAAAAATAGTTAATATGAAACTCATTAACATTAGGTCTACTATGGAACCAAAGAATTATAGTACTATTAGAAGTATTTTGAAAAAAGAACAAGGTAAAAAAATTGCTCCTTACATTTTCAAAATAAATGATACTTAGACACTGAAAACTTATCTAAGAAAAGAAAAGTTTACCTATGAAATTTACCAAGAAGAAATAAAAATAATAAATGTTAGAAAAAGAAAGCATCATGATGATGCATTATTACCTAATAAAAAGCAAAAATCTTTAAAAGGAAAATAAATACCATTTTTTTTAATAATTGGAATGAATTTCAATTTATATAGAAAAAAATTTCCTTAATCTTTTTTAAATTACTTTCTTATTTTCAATCAAGATCATTTTTTAACTTCAATTTGAGCAACTAATTGACCATTTTGTTGTTGTAATTATACTAATTGAACTTTTAACTTGTTGATTTCTTTTATTAATTCTTGATTAGTTAAGCCTTTTAGTTTTTCATTTTCTGCTTCTAATTGTTTAATCCTATCTAGAAATTCTTATTTTTGCTTTTTGTTTTATTCTTCAGATTTCTCCTGAAACTTAACTATTTCTTCCCTTTTGATTTCTAATACTTCTTCAGTTTTGTTTAGTTATTCTTATAAGAAGTTTATTTACCTTTTATAAAAAGCAGACTGACTTACTTCTTCATTAGGTAAGAGAGGGAGTTCCTTCTCTTTCAAATTCTCATTGTTTCTAATACAGTAGTAAACATTCTTACCAGTAGTAATATCAAAATCTAACTTGATTTGCAATCTACCACATCTATTACACTCTAACAATTCATCATTTCAATACTTTTCTTCACATTTTTCACAAACCATATCGTCTGAAATTCATTTTCCAGTTACTTTACTACGACCTCTTATTTGATGAATAAATTTATTATTTTTGTTTTCAAACTTAGAGCAGAAATCACAAGTCTTTTTGTTTTTTTTTTCTAATTCTAAAACTGTGTATTTCAGTTCTCTCATTGCAATTTACTTATTATTTAAACTTAACCTCTACTTGAACAATCATTTCTTGGTTGTGAAATTTTTCCTTTTTGATTAACTTTTGTAAATATTGAATCTTAACTTTTACTTTTATTTTTAACTGTTTAAATATACTCTGTTTAACTGAAGTCTTGTTTTCTTCTTCTATAGGTAAGGTGAATAAAGGTTTATTATCTAAGTAGATCAAATTCTTCAAATTTTTATTTTGTATTTCACTATCAGTTAATTGCTTGCTTAGTTTTTCTATTTTTTTGCTCTTTTGACTTAATTCTTCCTCCAAATTTTCAACTTGGGCTTCTAGATGAGAAATCTTTTTACTAGCACTATTGAGTTTCTTGTTTTTTTCTTTTATATCTTCTGCTTGAGCTTTACTCTATTTTTCATCAACTGTTAAGATATTCTTAACTTTCTCTCGTTCCACTTGTATCTCATTTTCTAATTCCTCTACACTTATTTCTAAATCCTTAATTCTTTCAATTTTACTTTTGATAATGTCTTTAAGAATTATATCCTTAGTTGGTTGATCAAAAATTTCACCTCTTTCTTCTATTCAAGAAAAAATATAAGCTCTTTGATTTTATAGTTTCCAATTTTTTTTCAATTCAGTGACTAACTCAGTATCTTCAAAGTAATCTATAATAATTCTCTCAACTACTTTTTTAGATTTTCTTTACCTTCCCATTTATAGTTATGCATAAGGTTATATTGAAAACAAACAGTCATAAATTGATTTCTTAATAGCTTGCTAATCAATTTTCTTAGATTTTACTTAATATTCTTGCTATAATAAGGAAATCTATTTTTCATATCTACCAATATTTAGTGAATTTGGTCAATTGCTTCTTGCTTAAATTCAGCTTCTTCTTATTCACTTACTTCTCTTAGATTTTTTAATTCAGTAATTTCTTGTTCCTTATTGGATAATTGCTTTTTCAATGTTTTAATTTCATTGATTAGTTCTTTATTTGCTTGTTGTTATTCTTTTAGGATGTTTGTCATGATTTTCTTGATTGTTCCTTTTTTTATTTATTCTTTTAATATACTTATATCCTTAGGGTATGTTAAGTATATAATTATTTTAATGCTTTTTTACTTTAAATATGGAAAAAGATAATAATATTTATCAAAAAGTTAAACTTATGAAGCTTAATGACAGTAAGAAGTTATAAAGGTGATTTTATTTTAAATATTTTATTCATTTCCAGTATAGATTGGTTCTGAGCAAGTAATATCTTTATATTCATCTTTTACAAATAGACAAATATTCTGGTAAAGATATTCTTGTCTTTTGTAATCTAAAGGAGGTGGTGTTAATACTAAAATAAATAAAGCTCTAATTTCTTTCAAAATAACTGCTTTCTTAGTTTTTAATAAATTGGATTCAGCAAAAGGTCCATTAGCAACTTTTTGAACTTTTACTATACTAAGATTAGATGCTTCAAAAAGAAAATGTTGATATTTCTGTATACTTGGTAATTTCTTAAAATAAATTCCTAAAATTGCTTTAATATTTAAGTATTGAAAGCCTTTTCTATCTTCATAACATTGAGCTTTATTTAATCCTGCTAAGCTAGACTTTTTTATTACCTCTACCACATGATCTAGACAATCTACTCTTATTTTTCTATAAAGATTTTTTATTAAAGCAAAACTATTATCACATTTGAATTTGGTATGTCCTGAAATCATAAAATTCAATTCAATACTTTTATAATAATCACAAATTACTAGATATAAATAAAATCAAATTGTTACATTATTTTTATTTTATTCACCAGCATTATTACAAGTAATCTTTAAATGTTTTTCACCTTATTCAATTTTTTAATTCCATCAAAGATCATATTAAGTATACCATTTGGTCCTTTTCCTATAATTTCATCTTCATTAAGAATATAATTAATTTGCTCCCTTATTGCTTCATCTTGAATACCAAATAAATGGACTTTATATGGACTAAGGTAATATATTTTACTTACTTGTTAATCTAAATGTAATACATGAACATTTTGAGCTTAATCATAACTATAATGGGTAGTGACATCAATACTACAATATTGTGTTTTACCCTTTGAATAATTTTAATTAACTAATTTTCTTTATTCTTCTGCTAATTTGGTATTTTTATTATAATAATTTCTTTCTACTTTGGTCTTGAATAGATGTTCTTTAAATCTTTTGAATAATTTTTTAACTTCTTCCTCTTGATAAATATTATAGTGTAAACCATCTCTAAAATGCTGACAAGTATCACACAAATCAGTCCTGAGGCTCATAATTTGAACCTCTGGTATCAATTAATGTCATAATTTTCTGAATGCATCATATTTTAGGAATTTCAAGTTACTATCTTCTTTTAAACTAGCTATAAAATCTCTGTAATCAGATTTATAACTCATTTCAGCTGGTAAGAATATGATTGATTGAGTTATTCTATTGATGCTTCTTTCTGGACTTGGTAATCCATGAACTTTAGCATAATTTTCTAGAAAATTCTTTACTATTTCAGCAACATCTTTGTCAAACACCATTTTAGTTTTCCATTAAGGTATCCTTTTAATATTACCATAAATTCTTAGCAAAAGACCATTATTTATCAGATGATTTCTGATATTTTCAAAATAAGTCCTACCAATTCCTAACATACTGAGATAAGTTTCTTGACAAAAAAATGTATTGTAATCCTAATGATAGAAAGTTCTTTTATTAGATCTAGTTTTCTTTTTAAGGTGTCTACTAACACTTGTTAATCTACCATCTATTGCTTTAAGTTAGGCCATTAAAAATATGTCTTGTTCTGCTTTGGAAAGTACTTGAAAGGATTCTCTTAATTCTGCAAATTGTTTCTTGGGAATTTTTAAAGAACATCCACATTTGCAACCTTTTTTCAAAAAATTTATTGCCTTTTCATATTCATTAGAACTATTATAATTATTATTTACATTATTACTTTCCATATACACTTATCCCTATATATATAATTTTATATTCACTTTGTAGGTTTTTTTATAATTTTTTATCATTGTCATAACAAGTAGAGCAATACATGGAATTATACTTCTACAGTGTATTTTCAACTTACTGTTTTTAAAAGGCTTCATCAAACACTACTACATTTATATATTAATACTCATTATATAAAATTTAAAAGATTTATTATAGTAATGTCCATTTTGTGAAAATAAAAATATGAAATTCTAATTTTATATTCTTATGATATTTGCTAAAATATTAAAAAAATCCTATAATAAAACTAATATTAACATCAAAAAAATTCAATCATGAAATAATCCTCAATATTAACATTTTACTAATATTCATACTTTTTTTTTAATATATCTAACCAGTGTAAATCATGATCTTTATACATTAAAGCATTTCCTTCAGCTTCACTTGCCCATTTAACTTCTGGATTCATTATAGGTGTATAACGATCTTTTTGATGTATTTCAGCCCAGTTAAAGTCTATAAGCATTACTTATAACTTTCCATTAACCTTTTCTATCATTATGTTTGAACTACATAAATTACCAAAAACAATATCATAAAGTATCAATAGCCTCTTGAATATTTTTTAAAATATCATTATATTTCTCTTTTGTAATGTTTGCAGTCTGTAATGTTTCACCATTAATATATTTCATTACAATCATGTATCATCCTCCCAAATTGATGTTGCTGACACAAAAAAGTTTTGGTGCAAGGTTTTTCTTAACACAAAGATGGTGTGCTTTAGCATTATATCTCTGAGTAATTTTGATAACAATTTCACATCTATTATAAGTTTTTCTCTTGAATAAAAGCTTTGATTTGTCTTCTGTCAACCAATCTTTATAAGTAAATTGTACTGTTACATCATCATCTGTGATATATTGATAAAGATATGAGTAAAATTGTTGAGAATTCTCAATCTTTACATATTTGGATACATCAAGTTCCTGATAAAAGTTTTTTAAATACTGGTCTGCATTGTATAATGCTTAAAAAAAACATGCAATACATTGATAGCATTTTTCATCAAGAGTAGATATCATTAGAATGAAATCAGTAAGAGGACTAATCATTGGATTAGAAGTATAAATACCTTCCAGAATACAGATCTATGGACCTGCAACAGCAAGAAGTATTGATGGACAATTATATATAGCTCAGATTTTATCACGCTATATTAGAAATAATTAATTAATAATTAATGAAAGAAAATGCATTATAGATATTGTCAATATATAGGAAATATACCTGTTCTTGGGCCTAGTACTTCGAATATAAAAGAGTTGCTTAAATTGTTAGATCACTTTTTCTTTTACCAATTTCATTTTTAATTTCATAAATAATTCGTAATCCATTTTTACCACAAGCAGTTTCTACCAATAACATCCTATCAATGCTACTTCCATCCTCAATTTTTACCTCAATAAACTTACCAATAAATTCAGTAATATGATTGATAAATGCATTCTTACGTAAATCTTCATTGACGTATTCATTAGCCATATTCTTAATTAATTTACTTGTCTATGCACAAAGCCTATCTGATAAATCAAGATTTTCATTATTGAAATCAGAAGAAAATTTTAAAAAAACCTTATGATATAAGAAAATTGGTGAACTAATACAATTGGGTGGATGACCATTTAAAATAATCTTTTGTCTTTATTATTTAAAAAATTTATGATATATAGCAACTGATGAGAAAGGACCCATTCTACGAACTTTTGTTAAATTCTCTTTCTGACCTATAAATAGAATGTTGTTAAATAATATAAAGTTGATACTGAAAATGATTTTTCATAGTCTATAGTAAATAATAAACTTACTTTTATTTTTACGTTTTAGTCCTACTTGCACACTTTCTGTAAAATATAAGAAAATTTAATATATGCAAAAGTAAATGAACATAAATTGTTAAGAGTGTGCAAATAGTTATTTACCTTGATCTTTCTCAACACCTTTTGTGATGTTAATTAAAAGTAGCAATGGAAAGTAAATAAATAGAAAATAAAGTGAATAAATAAATAAATAAAAAAAAATCATTTATTTTCTAAGAAATTATATAATTTTACATTTTACCTGCTGTAATAATAAAGAGAAAAAAGAAAAAAATAAAGTGGAAATTAGTCAAAAATATATGAATGATAAATAAACAAAATGAAATGAATGAAAAAAATTTTTTTTTTTATGCAATTTGTTCGTTACCTTTCCCTTCTCCTTCTCCAAATTTAACTAGTTTCTTTTGTAAGTACTCCACCTGATCTCTTCACCTCTTCTTCTCCGCCTCCAATGACTTCTTCTCTTCCTTTAGCTCATCTATCCATTCTTTTCACCTTTCCTTCTGCTCTTTGTTCCTGTATTTTTGTCATCCAACTTTTCTTTTAACCCTACTAATCTTTTTTGTTTATTCTCCTCTTCCTCCACTATCTTTTTGTAATCTCTTCTTGCATATTTTAATTTTTGGTCAATTCTTTCAAAAGTTAACATTTTTAAAAAATTAAAAAAGTTAAAAATGAATTTTTTTTATTGATTTAGATCCAACGATAAATTAGTAGACACATAACTTGCAATTAAAAAATTTTTTTTTTACAGACAAATGAATTAAATGACAAAAGAAAATTATTTTTATTTTAATTCAACTAATAATAGAAAAATACATAAATAAATAATTTATAAAAATATAAGTTAAAGAATTGTCAGAGCACTTGCATAGGAGGAAAATACTCAGACTCAAAGCCATTTATAAGTATTACCTATTTTTAGGGCACTCTGATAAAAATTCAACTTTTACTATTACTACTACTATTATTACTATTATCAATAATATTATTATTAATATTTGTATCTTCATTGTTTTTATTAACTTCTTTGTAATCTTCACTCTCTACTTCTTTCTTCTTTTCTTTGTTGACCCATTCCTGAATTACTTCTATTATTTTACTTCTAGGATTGGTTTTTCACTGATAGAAGTTTTTTATTTTGAAAGTAGCAACTCCTTTTCTATCTTCTAATAATTGGCGAATTTTAATGACTATTTCATTAAATAAAAAATTGGGATTCAACCCAGTATTTTTGTCAAATAATTGTTTGAAATCCTTCCATAGATTTTCTATTTCTTGTGAATATTGTTTATTACTAGTAAGTTGGTTTGTTTTATTTTTAAATTGTTTCTTTCTTAGTTTTATTTTATCGATTATTTAATCAATTTTTTGATTTATAGTATGAAGTTGATTTTGGTAGGTTTTATGGTAAATCAAGAAACTAAAAAGGAGTCCAATTAACAATTCACAAAAAAGTTCACTATTGAAAGTAAGCATTTTTTTAAAATGTTATTATGGATGAAAATTATGTAAATATTTATTGATTATTTGTTTTTTTTTTAAATCAAAATAAAATTGTTTAATAAAAGGTTTTGTTATTTGAATTTTTTTACCTGAAAATTAAGTGAATTGGTTAATGTTTTTATAATATTCTAATACAAGGTGGGATTATTTATCTTGTTTTAATATCAATGAGAAAAAAACAAAGACTTATAAAACATATTGTTGAATGTAATAGAATTTTTTGTTCAATTGATAAGTAATGCAACATAATAATCATTAATTACATTTTGCATAAAGGTGAATTTTCTTTGTAGTAAAAAAAAATAAATCAATATTATAATAATAAAATTATTTTTCTTCTAAGGGTTTCTGCTTTTTGTTAAGTAACAATGCAGCTTCACTCTGCTTTCTTTTTTTAATATTTATTATTTTTCTTTCTTCATGGTAAATTTTATAAGTAATCTTTTCTTTTTTTAGATAAGCTTCAAGTGTCTGAGTATCATTTACTTTGAAAATGTAAGAAGCAATTTTTTCACCTTGTTCTTTCTTCAAAATACTTCTAATGTTGCTATAATTCTTGGATTCCATAGTAGATTGGATGCAAATGAGTTTTATATTAACTATTTTTGACTAGACAAATATTAAGAACATGTTACATTAGTAATTTAATTGTAATGTTAAACATTATTGATCCCTGAAATTCTTAGTAATACCAATATTCACTTTGCCTGATTTTGTTACAGTATGCATCATATAAGGATTAAAGAATAAGGTGAAATTCTACAATATTATGTATAATACTGTTAGTGATAAAATTCTAATATTCACTAATTTCTAGATATTTTAACTTATATGAGTATGTAATTTTATAGAATGATTTACTGATAATATCTCTGCTTTAACCAATATCTAAAAACTATTATTTATTATATTTTTTTGCAATTTTAGTGATAGAATGATCACATAAACCTCTATTATTAAAAATATTAAGATAAATCAGGTTAGAATATGTTTGAAAATCTTAATTAAGGTTTTATGATTAAAGTCTATATTTCCTTTCAAATTTAAATGAATTATATTTAAAAAATTTTTAACGATTTTTCAATTATCTCATTAAAAAGATTAAAATAATATATAATTATAAAATATTGTAAATTATATTTATAGATAGTTTAGGATTTATTTATATAAACTTTTTCAGTCACATTATATTACGAATATCATAAATTTATCAATTTGATATAATATTATAAAATTTGATTAATATATATGAACTAAAATTTAGAGATGAGTAAAATAGAATATAACATATTATTTTTGGTTAAAAATTTAGAATTTTATTAGTATTTCAGATAGAATAAGTATCATTTTTTTTATTGAGATTAAGTATCTCAAATAATTTTTTTATTTATTATAGAAAGAGAGTTATTATATTAAGTCTGATTTAAAGTAATAATTATCTGTCTAAAAGATTTTTTGCTAAGCTATATATACTGTTAATACTTTATGTTTTCTGATTAAAATATTTTTTAACTATATAAAAAATACTTATAGTTAATTTATTAAAATAACTTCTGTTAGAGATAATATTAATTATTCTAAAATATCTTCTAGAATACGATTTAAAAAATTCATGTATTATAAGATCCCACAAAATAAAAAAATTGGTTTTCATATTAGAAATTAGTTTTAGGTGATCTGGCTGCTTGAATTTTTATTTTTAAGAATAAAAAATTTTATTTGATGATTTTATTATTTCACAACCTGGCTATCCAGGTTAAAATTTTCATATGTTAAAAATATTTTGTACTGTACATTAATATAATAAACTATTTAATAAATCATGATTTATTTATTTAATTCAACACTGATGATTTTTCAATGATTCAAAAAAGAGAGAACTTTCTTTATTCAATAAATTTATAATTGCAAACGTGAAAAAGAAACAAAATGGTTAAGTGAATTGACAATTAATATGCATAATCTATATAATTGTTAATTAACCAGCTTCATTAATTGGCGAAATTGATTGTGGCATTATGAATTTTGAGATTGGGCTTTCTCTCTTAAGTAAGATTTCCTTTTTCTGACTGTACCCTTAAGCAAACTTTACCTTTTGTAACTGCGCCCTTATGTAAACTTTCCTTTAATAGCTACGTTCCTAACAAAATAAAAAAACTTGATTATGCAAAATTTGTGTATATTAGAGGTCAGCTCTGGTAAAATCTGATCAATTCGTCATCTGATCTAGTTAAATTTTAGATCATCCAGATTTCTATTCATCAGATTTCAGATTATCCAGTATAATTCGGTCAATTTTTATAATTTCAGCTAGAATTATAAATTTTAGGCAGAATTATGAAAATTACGAAAAATCACATGATTTTTAATTTCTATGTACACAGGTATGTTGATTAATTTTCTTTTTCAATGATAGCTATTCTACAAAAAATTTTTTTTCTATTTTTAAATTTCTGTATTTTTTATATTTTGTGCAACTATAACACTGATTATTTCTTTTTTTAGTAGACAGTTAAAGCTGTGTTTAATTACATGACTAATCGATTAGGGGATCACGTCAGAAGATCAGCAGTGATACAAATAAGTCACATGAATAAATTTCTAAGCCACCAAACAAAGAACACATGATTTTTTTTATCATAAAACAGTTTTTTATATAATCAGAAAAAAATTACAAAATCATTATGGAACAATATATATACAATGGTAAAAAAATTTATTAATTTTCTCTATTTAAAACAGGCTCTAAACGATCTTTCAATTTATTGATAAATGCATCAATTTGTTCTATATTACCTTTTTCTTCAATCCTCCAATATATAACACGCATTCTTTCTGTTAATTCATTTACAACTAACTGTTGATTTTCCATTGCCTTCTCAGCTTTGGTCATCTTAGGTACCTCTAAGTCAACTAATTTGTAATACATATATATATTGAATCTAACTTCATCAAACATTTGCTGAAACTTCTCCTACATATCAGGTGTTAAAAGTTTTGTAAAACTATATATATGTTCATAAAATATATGATGGCAAGGTAACAAGTACTGATAAAAAAATAAACAATTACAACTTAGAGTTGTAAGACCTAATGCCTCTTTGCCTTTTCTAATCGTCCTTTAACAGCATAATATTCATTAATGAGCATTTGTTGAATAGGAAATGGAAATTTATGAATTTCCTGAAAAATCTCATTATCAATACCAACAGCTGAAATTCTTTTAATATGAAATTTATAGGCAATATGTTCTGAATCAGAATATTTTTTATTATCAAGTTCAACTATCTTATGACATGTACACTCCCCTCCAAAAAATATCCGATCACTTGCCGATCATTTACCGATCATTTGAAATTATAGCTGATTTTGACGTTTATTACTTAACAATTTATTAATAAAA